GGGTAGGAGCAGGGAGCCTGTGGGCAGGGGTGGAGCATGAACCCAGGGAGGACCAGTGAGAGCCCAGCCGTGCGGTGTCCTGGGAGGCCAGGGCCCGATGACTCGGCAGACCAGCATTGGAGATGGGCGTCTTCCTCCAGGGCCACTGATGCTGGCGTGGATGGGGGTGGCTGGCGAGGGTGCCATGTGGGCACGTGGGGGCCCGAGGCTGGTGGTGGGCTGTGCTCCAGGCCTTGCCAAGCCAACTGTGTCTTCGGGGTGAGTGATGCTCCAAGACGCCCCGTGGAATGTGGGGCCGGCTCCACTCCTTCCGTAATGCGGTTTTTTATAGTCGGGGGACTCACTGTCCCGCGGCCGCTGCCAGCTGTCTGTAAGCTCAGGATTAGAGAGCCGGGCCTTTCGTGAGAGCTGGGGCCGGGCCGGCTGAGCCCTTCACAGGGAGGGCCAGACCACGGGGACGGCGAGCGACTGCCTGGCACTGTGAGTGAGCCAGCCAGCAGACAGCATGATGGCCTTCTCCTCGCCTGCCCCCAGGGTCTGGTGCGGGCTCTCTTCTGCCCACCCTACCCAGCTTGGGAGCCCCACCCCATCACCACCCTCCTGAGCCTCTCGGGGCGCCCTCCTGGATGGCATCGCAGCGGGCATTGGCCTCCCCTCCATGCCCCACCTCTGCTTCGGGTCAGGAGCACCCCTCACGCACAGCAGGACTGGAAGCCCCATGGGGCCAGGAGGTGCCCAGGGGTCAGGGGACTTGGACTTGAGTCCACCTCGTGGCTGTGTGACGGTGGACAGGTGGCATCCCCTCTCTGGGACTCAGTGTCCTCGTCACTAAAGCAGGAATGGCGCTCTCCCATGACCCGGTCTGGGGACACTGCATGGAAGGAAGCATCCACAGCACCAGGTACTACTCGCCCTCGTGTGCCCGGGGTGGCCGCCAAGGGCCCGGCAGCATTGCCACGTGTCGGGGCTGGCCCAAGTTCTGTGTCCCTGGAATCTACAGCCTGCATTCTGTGAAGGCGGAGCGTGACTGGGTGGCAGGCAGCGGGGGTTCCAATGCTGAGATTTCCCTTCCCCACCCCTCCTGCCCGCCCCAGCGCCTTCCCTCCTGCGTGCCTTTCTTTGGGCAATGGGCAGAGGCCCCAGAGCGGGCGGGATTCCTGTGAGGTGACGCCAGCCGGAGTGTCCAGCCGGGTGCAGCCAGCCCAGTCGTCCATTCACGCAGCCACCAGCGCTTCATTCACCCCTGGCAGGGAGGGCAGCGCCCCCGTGACTCGCAGCTGGGGCTTCTCCATGGGTGGGGACTGTGTCGCTCTGCCAGCGACGCTGAGGTGGCCCCCAGGGGCCTCTCCTGTGGGCGTGCAGGGGTGGGTGCTGGCCCCAGCATGCTGCACACGACCTCAGGGTGGCACCCACACACTGGGAGCTCCAGCTTCCCCATGAAAGATGACTGAGGAGATGGGGAGGCCGCCTAAGGTGGGGAGGACACGGTGCTGGCCAGCAGTGACGGACTGTGGGCAGGTGTTGTGCCACGCCTTTTGCAAACATCTGATCGCAGCCCTCACGACAGCCCCAGGGAAGGAAGTGCGGTCACACCGCAGCCGACCTAGGATGTCACCCCAGCTCCAGATGGCACAGCTCCCTTCTCCTGTGGCCGTGGAGCCCTGAGGGGACCCTACTTGATGTCTCTGGGATCTCCTGGCTGCTTCATTTGCCCTCAAGACGGCTGAGGGGGCGGGGTCGCTGGGCCCTTGGGGCAGAGGAGGGACTGATCAAGTACCTGCCGGGTGGCGGAGCAGCCACATCCCCCATCCCCAAAGCAGGCCCGGAAGGCAGGTGTGTGGGCGGGGCACCCCTCCCTCCTCCCCACGCCCTGTCCTGTCCGCTGCGGGACCTAGGATGGGCGGAGCAGCACTCACCCTGGCGCCCAGCAGCCCAAGCTGTTCCAAGATGCTGCCAAGTTAGAAGGGCGCGGTGGGGTCCGTGGGGAGTGCAGAGGCTCTGGGGACCCGGATTCGTGGGGCCGGATGGGGTGTGGGCTCTGGGCACCCGGCTTCACGGGGCCAGGCGGGGTGTCGGCTCTGAGTACCCGGCTTCGCGGGGCCAGGCGGGGTGTTGTCGGCTCTTGACGGAGTTTGCTCTGGTTTCCTGCGTTCCTCCTCTTCAGGGTCCCCAGCCCGCACTCGGGCCAGGCTGACCTGTCTCTGTCCTTCCTCTGCAGGGGCTGGTGTCTTCTTCCTGTCCTCGGCCGAGGGGGAGCAGATCAGCTTCCTGTTCGACTGCATCGTCCGAGGCATCTCCCCCACCAAGGGCCCCTTTGGGCTGCGGCCGGTTCTCCCAGGTGTGTGAGCCTGGCCGACTGGGGAGGGTACGCTTGGCGGGCTGTGCGATGTCCTGGGGCGGTGGGCCATGGTGATTCATCTGCCTGGTTAGGCGGCCACCCTTCCCACCCCCAGCTAAGGAACCAGAACCTTTCCAGGCCAAGACTGCAGCCTGGGCTTTGGCAAGCCTTGCTGAGGGCTTCAGAGCAGTCGGGGCTGGACTCCCACCTGCAGGTGCTCTCTCGGGGGTCTGAGCTGTTGGGATGCTTGGGCCTAGAGCTTTCTGGCTGGGACCGTCAGCCACAGCTGCCCCTGTGCAGTAAGAGACCCTCTGACTCACCGCCACCATCTTCCACGCCCAGGAGCAGGGAATGCCTTGCCCGAGCTTGGCGGCCCAGTAGCAGCTGATCTGACTCTGCAGCTGGGGTCGGGACTGGCTCTGCCTGAGCCCGGTGTTTAGGCCCAAGGCTACCTCGGGAGGTCACCTGGCTGTGGGGTCTCGTCTTGTCTCACCTGCACTTCCTTGGCTGTGGCTGTGGCACTCTCTGCAGGAGTCCTTGGCCAGGGATGTTGCTGGACCCACCGGGGGCCCTGGTGCCTGGGCACAGTGGGGCTTTCCAGGTCGGGGCAGGTGCTGGGCTGGGTGCCTCCATGGGTTCTCTCGAACGCTCCTCTAGCTCCACGCGGGCAGCGCTTGACCCAATGTCCAAGTGAGGCCAAGGCCCAGGCCACGTGGCGGGTGAGCAGCAAGCTCATATGTGGTGCCTCCTGGCACTGGCACCCCAGCCGGGGTGTGGCGGGGGAAGGGTGACTGGGAGGACAGAGGTGAGCAGCATATGGGGCGGGCACCCGGGCCTCCCTTCCCCTGGCCACAGCCCCAATGCCCGCTGCCCACACCAGCACAGTCACATAGGGGGCGGCCCTGGGAGGAGGGAGGTGGCACCTGTGGCCAGGGCCCTCCCCACTGCCCTGCTATGCTGGATGACGCGGCCGCACCCCTGCAGGCGTCTTCCTGCCTAATGGCTGCCAGCAGGTATGGATGGTGTGGTTGGCATGGATGACGTGGTCGGCGTGTTCGACTGTGCAAGGCGAGGGTGTGCAGGGTGCAGGGCGGGGACAGGGACAGGCAGAGGCAGCGGGAGGCTGAGGAGGGCTCCCTGCTCTCTCCTGCCCCCCTCAGGCGGTTCCCAGGGAACAGAGGCCGTGCCAGGGAAGCAGCACTGGGTAGAGGATGCTGGGGAGGGTCGGCCTGGGACAGCCGCTAGACAGGACAGGCCCCACCGCGGCAGCAAGCGGGCCAGCCCCAGGCAGGGTCATTGCTGACAGCTGGAGGGAGTTGGGCTGACCAGAAGTCCCAGACCCCACTCCACAGGATGTCCTTGTCAGAGTCAGCTGGGAGCTCTCAGAAAGCTCTGCTGTCAGGGCCTCGGCCTGCAGCTGTGCCCCCCAGCTGTGCCTCTGCAGGTGTGTGGGGGCCTCAGGCCACCTGGAGGTGCTGATGGAGCTGGGACACTATGCTGGGCAGCACCCCGCCGGAGGAGCCGTGGGCCCAGCCCCTGCAGGCTGGAGTCATGGGAAGGTCTGGGCTGGTGGGGTCGTCTGCCCAGGCTGGCAAAACACTGGCGCCCTGTGATCACAGGGCTCCCACAACGAAGCCCCGCGGGCAGCATCCTCATGCTCTGGGCTTTCTGCCATCCTCCTGTGCTGAGTCTGCTGTGACCCACCGGAGGGGCCGAGAGGTGCAGGAGGTCCAGCCCCTTGGTCTTCTGCACGTGGACACCAAGGCCCAGAGGCAGCCAGACCCGCCAGCAGCAGGAGGGAAGGGCTCAGAGGCCTGGCGTCCGCCACGCTCCGAGCACGGCATGCATGTTACCTTCTTGGCCCGGCCTCCACGGGGGTGCACTGTTGCTGTACCCTTTTGCAGACGAGGTTGAGAGGCTCAGGGGGTGCATGGTGGAGCTGGGAGTCGATCTGTGTCTTGCCCACCAGCTACTGGATGGGAAACGGTGGGAGGTTGTGTCCTGCGTCCTGACCCTGGTGTCACCGAGGGCCGCTCTTCATCCCAACTGCAGGGCACTGGCTTTGTGGGGGGCCCTGGTCGGAACGCCCGAGGGCTGAGGGACAGTGGTGCTGTCCTGTCACTGTGCTTGTCTTCAGCCTGGACCCTCAGCACACCAAGGAGCCAAGACTGGCGCCTGCTGTCCTGCCCACGCGGCAGAATGTGTCGGTGAAAGCGCCAGGAGCTGCCAAGCCGAGTGGCCTGTGGGCTCCATGGCCACCAGCAGCCTATGTCGGGAGGGACTGGGGCCAGAGCTGGCACAGCCTTGGCTGCCATTGCCTTCCACCCTGCCAGGCACAGGTGGGGAGGGGACAGGAGAGAGGCTTGTACTGGCCCCATCCCTGTCCCTGGCAATGCTACAGATGGGGCCACAGGGTCATGGGCTGGCAGGGCCCCAGGCTGACCCAGGCAGTGCCTTGGGGCAGCCATACCCGGAGGCTGGGGGAGGCTCTTGCATTCCTGGGCCAGGTGCTGTGAGCTCTCGCCTGCCCGTGGGGAGGGCCCTGTTCTGAGGTCCTGATGGGGCCTCCTGTTGTGCTCAAGGGCCCCAGCTGGGCGCCTGAAGGTGTCAGCAGAGGACAGTGTCTTATCAGGGATGGGGCCTCTTCAGCCTAGACGTGAACCCGGACAGGGACACCATTGCTTTCTGTTTGTTTCTCCGGAACCCTGACTACGGGGTCAGGATGTCCGGCTCCAACCTCCGCCAGGCTCGGTTCTGTCCACCGAGGCTCTGATCCAGGTGTCCCAGGCTGGGGACTGTACCTTCCAGTCCTCTCTGTGTGCTGCAGAATTTGGTGTAAACTTTCCATGCTGCCACTGCTCCTGGATTTTGGGGAGAGCAGGTCCTTGGACCTGTTTCGGCTCAGTCCTGCAGGTGCCCCCAAGGTGGGTGGCAGGAGGTGTGTCCTGGAGGCCCAGAGGAGGCCACCTGGAGCAGGACGGGGTCGGTTTGCTCTTGTGCTTGTAGCTGTCGCTTCCCTGCCAGGGAAACTCTTTGGGACGGCTGTGGCTGTGGGTGCCATGGATGTGGAAGGGGCGGGGTCTTGAGCCCTGCTGTTTGGAGCAAGGCAGCCACTCAGCCTAGTGCCCACATCACTTAGTGCCTGGGACATCCCAGCACGGGTGGGGGCTTTGGGACCAGGGCAGTGATGCTGAGGCTCGGGACAGCGGTGCCGAGGGGCCAGTGAGAAGGGAGGTTTCCTGCCACTCAGTCCCAGAGGACCCAGAGGACACAGGGACGATGGCCAGAGAGGGTGGGGCTGCTGCTCCCTGGATGCAGCCCTGAGGGGAGGGGCTGGGTGGGGCCGAGGGTCCACAGACCACTGTGCTCTGAGCCTCGGGCACAGTATGAGGCTCCATCCAAGGCCCCAGGGAATGGTGGGACCGCCACAAGGTGGGCGGGCATTTCCCCAGGTGGAGAGGAGCCTCTGAGAAATGGGCACCATGAATCAGGGGCGGGCAGCCCCTCTTGCAGCGAGACTGGCCCTGGGGATGGGGGAGGGGCTGGCCATTTTTGGAACAAAAAATTGAAAAACTCCGTGGCGAGGAAGAGGGGTCTGGCCCGCGTGGGGTCCTGGTGAGTGGACAGGTGGCGGGGCCATCCATGGGTGCAGGGACCCAGCAGGGCGGATGGTGGCCTGGATAGGGGTGGTGTGGGTGCAGCATTTGAGGCCCAGCATCTGGGCTGAGGCATGGGGAGAAGCGGGGACTCCCAGGGGACTGCTACTCCACGGAGGGGGCCACCACCGCGTCAGGCTGGGCCTGGTGCCTGCGGGCAAGGGTGGGTGGTGGGGGCCACTTCCTCCACTGAATCTTCTCTCTGCTGCAGACCCAAGTCCCCCGGGACCCTCGACTGTGGAGGAGCGCGTGGCCCAGGAAGCCTTGGAAACCCTGCAGCTGGAGAAGCGGCTGAGCCTCCTCTCGCATGCAGGCCGGCCGGGCAGTGGAGGTAGGGCCAGGGGCTGGCCTGGGCTGTGGGACTTCAGCTAAGCCTCCAGTGGGAGAGCTCAGGAGGCATCCATGCATGTGTGGGGGCTGCTGGCTCCCTCTGCTCATTCATGCATTCCTTCTCTCTCCTGCTCATTCATTCCTTCCTTCCCC